CTTCGCCCGGCTTCTGACCCTTGTCGCGCGGGAGCGGGGGCGCCCGAGCAGGGCGACCCCCTCCCGCTCGTGGGCCGCCAGCGCCGAGAGCAGGGAAGGCGAACTGGGTGACCCACATGAGAACCAGGCACGCGGCCCACGGGTTTGCACGCACCCCTCCCTCCGCCTCCTCCTCCTCCTCCTCCTCCCCCCCATCCTCCCCGTCCCTCCCTCCCCCTCTCCCTCGTCTCCCCGGCCCTCCTCTCTCTGCCCCTCCTCCCCCTTCCCTCCCCCACCGCCTGTTCCCCGAACAGGTCCGACTGCCCTGCGACATCCGCTTCTCCCTCGCGTGCAGTTCCTTCTCGATGAAGGCGACCCTCTCAGGCAGGGATGCGTGGATCGACCTGTGGTCCTGCATGTCCTTCACATGCCTGAGCAAGGCTAGCACGACGGCGACTCGTAGCGGTTGGATATAAAAGGAGGGGATGAAGGATGAAGAACGGGGAGAACCGTGACCGTGAGACATAACCACAAATACGAATGCAATGGGAAACAAGGAAACGGCTCATCGGGCACAATGACAGAGATGTATATTTGCACGAGGGAGACGGATGGGGGCTTCGCATGATGTTCTCAACTCGTCCACCTTGAAAAGTTAGCACAAACAATCAATCGATACAACCTGCACTAGCAAAGCGGCCCAGGACTACCACACACACACACACACACGTATGAATGTCGAACATGCTTGCCACAAGACCAAATAACGTGCAACGAAGACGCGCGCAAACGAACGATGCACACACACACACACATTAATATGAACTTCGCCTGCCCAACGGGGCAGGGCCAAGTTGAAATCTCTTGTAACGAAAAGCTAGGTCTAACTTGAGCGCGCGCGCCAGTCCTTGGGTGTCCCAAGACAAAAAAAATAAAAACACCCTGGCAAGGTCCCGGGCTGGTCCGGGTCACGGATGCCAGAACCCCTGAGCGCGACCCTGGAGGCCCCCAGTGCGCCCCAAGGATGGGTCAGCCCCACGGCCTCAGGCCAAGAGGGTCCGTCAGCATCAGGCCAGGAGCGCTCCACGACGGCTCGAGCTGGCTCCAAGACGGCCCAGAGGGCCCCAAAGACGGCCCAAGCAAGAGTGCCCCAACACAGGACCCAGATCGCTCACGCATTCGCGGGCGATGTGTCCCGGCTGCGCAAACAACGCGCATCCGTTCCCGTAGTGGCTGCCATTCCCCAATCAGTGCTTGCACTGAAGGGGTCCTAGCGGAAGTTGGAAGATTAGGCGAACATGTCCCGCCGATTTTGGTAGCAATAGCTGGGTTCCCGGGTTCCCGGTTCCGGGTTGGTTCCTGGTTATTGGTTCTGGGCCGATTTCGGTGGGCTCTGGGCTCCGGGGCTCCCGGGTTCCCGGTCGATCTCCTCAGTGAAAACCATCCGCTGATAGGTTTTTTCTTTGGAATAATTGGAGAGGTCATGGCCCCTTCGAACGTATCTGTGTCCGAGGGCCCCCAATAGTCAAAGCCCGTTGATTTCTAAACGATTTTGGCATTGCCGCCTCCGCGGGGATTTCCGACCGCCCAGGACGGCAGGCCGCCGAGACCGCCCCGAGTCGGCCCAAGAGGCTCCCAGGACGGCCCCCAGACGGTCCAAGAGCATTCCAAGACGCCCCAGGAGGCCTCACAGGAGAGCTGGAGAGGCCCCCGAAGCAGGCCCCAAGAGCGGGAATCCAAACTCGCACGTCGAGCCTGCCCCGAAAGATGGAGCCCGAGCCCGCCAGCAGGCCCCCAAGACGCCACCAAGAAGAGGCCCCCAAGAGGCCCCAAAAGCTCCAAGAAGCCCCCAAGATGCCACAGGAGATCACACAACTGCCCCCCCGCCCCGAAAAGGCCTCCGAGAAGACCCCGAGAAGCCTCCCAAGGAGGCTGGCCCACTGCCGCCGAGAAGCCTCCGAAGGGCCTCCGAAGAGATCCCAAGACGCCTGTAACATGAACGTGCGGCAAGCGTCCTCGGCCGTGCCGCATGCTCCGCGGCCTCTGGCCGGGGCGTGCGCTGTCAGCCTGCACTGAGGCCGCCGTGGCACTGCAACCCTGCCGCCCGGCGCCCCGGCAGAGCCTCCGCCCGAAGACCGCCCGCCGCCCCGCCGCCACTGGAGGAAGTGGCGGCGCCGACCAGACCGCCGCCGCCCCCACCCGAGCAAGCGGGAGGGAACAGGAGGCAAAGGGGGTCCGCCATCCGCCGATGACACCACGGTGGCCGCGGACGCCCACACCGCGCCGTCAATCCTGGGGATCAGCGACGCCCCATGGCCCCCCATGCGCAAAGGACACCAACAAGACACCGTGACGGGACACCAAATCGAGGAAAGAGCGTGATCCACCGCCGCTTTTCTGCGGAAAAATCCCCCCTTCTTCCTCTGGAACCCGGGGTCCCCCACCCTCCGAAACTCCACCCCCCTGCTCGAACCCCCCCCCCTTTCCTTCCCCCGGAAAATAAAATCTCCCTTAACCCCCCCTCCCCCTCCAGAAAACCGGGGGGGGGGTCACTACGGGTTCGAATCCCCCACCTCCAAAAAACGGGAGGGGTCACTACCGGTTCGAACACCCCCCCCCACTTGCCGCCGGCAAAAGACTCCGGGGTCCCCACCACCGTCCTCACCACCGCCCTCACCACTGTCCCCACCACCACCGTCCCCACCACTGTCCCATTGTCCCCACTGTTCCCACCACTGTCCCCACTGTCCCCGCCAGTGCCCCCACCACTGTCCCCACTGTCCCCACAGTCCCCACCACTGTCCCCACCACTGTTCCACTCTCCCCACTGTCCCCACTGTCCCCACCACTGTCACACTGTCCCCACAACTACTGTCCCACTGTCCCCACTGTCCCCACCACTGTCCCACTGATCTGTCCCACTGTCCCCACCACTGTCCCACTGTCCCACTGTCCCCGCTACTGTCCCCACTGTACCACTGTCCCATTGTCCCACCACCGTCCTCACCACCGCCCTCACCACTGCCCCCACCACTGTCCCACTGTCCCCACCACTGTCCCAGTCCCCACACTTCTGTCCCCACCTCCACCGTCCCCACCACTGTCCCACTGTCCCCACCACTGTCCCCACTGTCCCCACACCAGTCCCCACCACCACTGTCCCACTGTCCCCACCACTGTCCCGCTGTCCCCACACCACTGTCCCCACCACCACCATCCCCACCACTGTGTCCTCACTATCCCCACCACTATCGCACTGTCCCTGCTGTTCCCAAAATTGTTCCCACTGTCCCCACCAGTGCCCCCAACAGTGTCTCACTGTCCCCACTGTCCCCACTGTCCCCACCACTGTCCCCATCACGGTCCCACTCTCCCCACTGTCCCCACTGTTCCCGCCACTGTCGCACTGTCCCCACCACTGTCCTAGTGTCCCCACTGTCCCCACCGCTGTCCCACTGTGCTGTCCCACCATCCCCACTGTCCCCACCACTGTTCCACTGTCCCCACTGTCCCCATCACTCTCCCCACTGCCCCCACTCCCACCACCATCCCCGCCACCGTCCCAACTACTGTCCCGAGAGGTGGGGGGGACCTCGAAGCGGTAGTGACCACCCCCCTTTTTCATGATGGACCGGGGTGGGGCGGTTCGAATCGGTAGTGACCCCCCCCAGTTTTCGAGGGGCGGGCGGGTTGGACCCCCCCCCCCCGGTTTTCTGCCAGCAGCGGCAGAACACCCTCGTTCAAATCGGCACACCCAAGACCCCGCACCCCGCTGGCCAAAAGGCCGGGGAGGAGGAAGAAGAAGATGCCACTTCCGCGGATCCAGCGCTTCCACCAGCGCGGCTTCTGCCTTAATCCGCGCCGTCCCCCCGCGGAACTGCTTCCGCCGGCCTCCACAAGCGCAACTTCCGCCGCTTCCGCCAGCCACCGCCGCGGGGCACCGGGGCCTCGGTCTCGCTGCGTTGCAACGCTTCTATGACCTGAAGAGCCAGCCGCGCCGCGGCGATCTGAATTTGTGTCTGCCGTCGCGAGCTGAGGTGGAGACGCATCTGGTCCACGACACAGTTTGGTCCCAAGAGTGCCCCGAAATGCCATCGAATTACTCCCAGACATCTCCCTCTGACCACGAGCACACGAACACATGACATCCCCAATCGCTACGACCAGATGGGCACACGGCAACGATGCCACTGTGAGGGCCAACGGAACCGAGCAAAACGACCAAATGTGATGGTACGGGAGCAGCGTCGATGACGTATGGGTACAACTGGCAGGCACACAACTTCCTGCTCTGTGCGCAAGGTCGTTTCCAAGCACGCGACTTCTCCGATTACTGGGTACAACGAACTATACATGTATAGATATATGTAAGTTCACATACCCACACTCATTTAATATGATGGGGCCTTCCCCGAATCCAAAGCCAAACCATCAGGAGAAACAACATCTGGCATGCAATACGAAACCTAGCATGCAATACGAACACGCCTGTCGTGAGCCCTCTTCATGTCGGACAAAGCCTTCTCGTGCTTATCGGCAGAATCCCCAACGACTTTTTCTATGTACTCAATCCGCTCTTCGAACCTCAGTTGGTATCAGCTGATACGAAAGATAAGCAAGCTGGCAGAGAGTGGTGTGAATGGCACTGAAGGAACAAGGAGTCCAAGAGTCCAGAGCATCGCAAGAACCGAGCACACCCTCGGAGAAATATGACATACGATGCACTTCGCTCGCAGATGTGTTGAACGTGCGTCGTGAGGACTCGGGCGTCAGAACATATGCAAAGACCTGCGAATTGTGTTTTCGTGTTGCGAGTCGTGCAATGCAGCACGAGAGCGGCGGCCCTCAGCGCCGGCGGAGCCCGCTTGTCCTGTCCCTGCTGCTCCAGCCGCTGCTGGCAGTGGGCGGCGGGACATGATATCCTGCCGCGCTCATGGTTTCGATGATTGGTGCCCCATGGTGCCCCATGGTGCCCCGATGGTGACTCGATGGCTTGTTGTGTCTGGACGGTGTCCCGCTGGCTTGCTCATGCTGTCTCGATGGTCTGTTGACGATGTCCCGATCGTGTCCCGGTCGATTCACGGTGATGTCCCAGATTATCCATAATCCGCTTGTTATTGTGCCCCGATTGATTCCTGACTTGTGCATTGGGGTGCCGGGTTCTTTTGCGATGGTGTCACATTGTCTTGCGATCGCTTGGGTTTTTGTTTGGTTGGTCGTTGTGTCCTGGGTGGTTTGCGACTGGTGTGTGGTCGTGACCCGATTGATTTGCGATTCGCTTGCGATGGTGCCCCGAATGATTTGCGATGGTGTCCCGATTGATGTGCGATGGTGTCTCAAGTGATTTGCGATGGTGTCCGATCGATTGTTTATGGTCTTCTACGTGTGTGTGTGTGTGTGTACGTGTGTGTGTGCGTGTGCGCCCAAGCGCCAGAGCAGTAACCTCTGCCCAGCCGCCGACGCAAAAAGTGTATGTGTGTGTGTGTTCTGAATGATTTGCAAAGGCTCCCGATGTATGCAAGTGAGCCCCAATCGTCAGCGATGGTGTCCCGATTAATGTGCGATCGTGTGTTGTCTTGATATTCGATGGTTTCCCGATTGATTTCCGAAGATGCCCCTACTGCTCTGTAACAAATCTGGCTGTCCCGATGTATGTACGATAATTTCTGGAGTCATGTGCACCCGTGCCCTTACTGATGTTCAGATGCGTCCAGGTTGATTTTCGATGGATCGATAACGTCCCCTGTCCTGGTCGATTTGCGTTGGTGTCTCGATTGGCTTGCATGGAACGTGCAAGCCCGCTCCCTTGATCAACCTCCTCATCCAACGCAAGCTGGTCTGTTATGTTTATGTTGCCCCCATCGTACTTAATGACCACATCCCAGAAATAACTTCGAGCACCCGGAAAAGTGTCACGATAATTTCGAAGCAGTGTCGAAACAATGTCGGGCGAGTGTCTCCCAGGGCCCGACACGTGAAAACCTTCGAATTTCGGTACTTTTTTTCTGGTGTTCGAAATTCTTTCTGGTGGTCAAGGCGAAACTAGGTTTGAACATCATAATGCTGTGTCGAAAAATTTAAAATGAGTTCCACATGGGATGGGGACCCACCCGACCCGAGATTGGCGTCGGCTCGTACCGCGCGGGCGCGGCGAAGCTCCTCGTGCGTGCGGGCACGACACGATCACCAGCTCCAGCCAGGCGCAACGTCGACAAGTGTACCGCCTCGTCCGGCTAGGAGCGGGGCCGTCCTGGTTGTCACGCGGTTGTCCCGCTTGGTTACTTTGTTGCCGACAGGGACGGAGCCCGCGGGCTGCCCCGCAGGTGTTCTTCATGGTTATCCCGTGCGGTTGTCTCGTACGGTTGTCCAGCAACTGCTTCGTGGTTGTCTAGTGGCTGTCCCGTTCCAATGTCCGCGGTTCCGCCTCCGCCTCCGCCTCCGGGTATTACCGGGTATTACGCCGCGAACGACGCCCGGGCCCTCAGGGAGAAACCGGGCCTGACCTGGGATCTGACAAGGGGCGAGTATCATCTTGGCACATACGCAACGCAGCCACAACTATCCCGACCCCGAAACACAACAAACATAACCTACCACCACCACTACCGAATATCACACTTCTGAATGTTTGCGTGTCAAATGTGCGCGGGGGCCACAATCTAATCTTATCTGGCACGCGGGCACCATACAAGAAACCCGTCTGGCTGTGGGGCAGGGGAACATGAGGGAAAGGAAAAGAAAACTGCCCCGGCTGCTAAGGCGTGGGGGCGGCTAGACCTGCGTCAGTAAGCGACAGGCCGGGCACAAGACGGAGCTATAGAACCGTCAGCCGCCCCCGCAGCGTCAGCGTAGGATCGCCGCCAGGTTCGGGTGCAGCCCCCCAAAGACCCTAGACAAAGTGGGGACCGTCAAAACGTCAATTCCTACCCCCCTCATCATACACTCACATCACGTGTGGCATCACTCTGCAAGACCACCATTGCACCACGAGGCCAAGATCTAATGACACCGAGAAGGTGGCCGCACCAGCGGTGGCAAACACACGACAACAGGCCCAGAACCGAACTCTGGCGTCGCAGGGTGAAGAACAGACATATTCAGACGCCTACTTTTGCCATATTCCCTCAGAAAGCACGAATCAGCGACACCAACACGGACACCGACTTATACCTGAGGGGAACGGAGGGCCTTCTACCGACACATTCGCCGAAGCACACGCCACAAACGGCACAGATACCGACGCGCGCTGGCCAAACGAGTCGCCGGTCTGCCCCCCGGGACCCGCGACTGACACTGCGACTGACACCGCAGCCCCAGCCGCAGCCCCAGCCGGAGCCGAAGCCCCCATGGAGGAAAGAGCCGAAGCCCCCATCCGCCTCGGCGGCGTGATGATCCCGGAGAGGTTGTGCAATCCCGCCTCCACCACAATCCGGACTGCTTAGAGGATGGCCGACCCGAGCACAATCAAGAGGGCCCTGCCACAGCAGCAACGACCAGACCTCTAACATTAGGCACACAAGGTAGCACCCCGAATGGGGTTGGGGTTAGCCGCGTCCATTCTCCTCATCCCCTCACCCTGAAACAGCACACCACCAGGAAACCCAAAACCCCGGCGGGGGAGTGGACCGCGGCGAGAACTGTGACCGCAAGGAGAGAGGAGCGGAGAAGGGAGGGAAAGGAGGAGGAGGAGGGAAGGAAAGCGAGCGAGGGATAAGGGAAGAAGGGAAAGGCACAGTCCCACCACAACCTACCCCCCTCACTCAGGGGAGGCACTGAGCCGGGAATGAGGACGCGTTTCCGACGAGCGGCCACGAGGAGGCCTATGCACCTGCTCGTCTGTCCGCGGCTCCTCATTACTTTAGACAAGACAAACCGTCAATCAAGTCGTTCGATCTCCATGACGTCAGGCGGATACACGGACGGGTGGCCCTGAACTCAGATCGACAGTTGGACCGTTGGGTCGTGAAGCATATGGCTTGGTCGATCGTCAGGCCGCTTGTACTTAGACCGCCACAGGCATCACTACTCGGTTACGCTTGCCACGAGCACATCACTTGGAAAGGTCCCCCGGCATCGATAGCACGGCGTTCTGTATATGTATTGACATATACGTATGCAAATGTGCTGCCCTTCAGTAGATCAGTACCTAGTCCCCTAAACGGTGAAACCGTATGATCACAGTTGCCCCAAGGTCCCCCCCGGCGTTCGTCCCGACGATTGTCATGCTGTCGCTGCCTAGTCATATCGCCCGCTTCACGAATAACACGCGTATTACTAAGTGCTTTGCTGAAACATTGTGCTATTAGCTCGTTAACTGAATCGTTAGCAGGCTCGTCAGTACTTCGGCCAGGATTGAGATTGTCACGCGTATCGTTGGTCATGTTTCAGTTCAGTGAACGCGCGAGATTGCCTTGTGGTGTCATTACTTTTGATAAATGTTGCTCGCTCGCTGGCTTGCCAATCAAATTAGCAACGTGTGCTAGGAACTTGGGCGGCTACTTATTTCGGTGCACAGCTCATTCGTCCTCACCACTCCAAGGGTGGTCTTACAGGCACATGTGCGTATCTCTGAAGAAGAAGAACAGGGAGAGGGGGGAGTTACTGAGAAATGGTGGTATTCAGGAAGGAAAGAACATTGACAGAAATGGGCGGGATAGTATGGAAAGACAAATAAAACTGATGCGGAAAAACAAAATGAAAAGGAAAAGACAACCAATAGGAAACCGCGAGGACTCTGCGAGGTCCAGCCATGTGTTGTGGCGTGTGTCGGACGCGAGTAAAGCGGCGACGCTTTCAAGCAATAGTTGTGACGCCTCTGCCGTAGACAACAAGGAAACAGGAGCACAGACGCACATCGCTTGACTATGTTTGGGGTCCTCTGTGGTTGTGGCAATATTTGTGCGATTACACCGCTTTAGATATGTCCGCGCTGCGACCTCCCATCTGCCGATCGCACCGCACAAACTCTTTGCATTATGTACAAGCTCACGCTTATGCCAGACGAGTCTGAACCACATGCCTCTGTAGCCACGTGCATTCCCCATCCATCTGACCCTCGTGACGCTATGGCGAAGACGTTGCGTGATGACTGGAGGCGGGTTTATAAAGATGTATCCGCGTCAACTGTGCGACGACAGCGCGTCAACATCATGGCCCATTCAGGGAAACTCCAACCGCCACGAGACCGCACTGACGATAAGAACCAAAACCCATCAACATTTCAATCATGGAATGCTTACCCTCCGCTTGGACTCCGTTCCCCGTTCAGCCGATGCTGAAACTTGATCGCCGCCGTCCTGTGTGCGCCCTTCACGGCCGAGAGCTCCTGAGCGTGCTTGTCGTGGGACCGCTTGAGCTCTGCAAGCATCCTGGCGTGCTTGTCGGCGGAGTCGCCAAACTCCTGCGGCAGATGGCTCCCGCAGCTGCCCGGGAACAGCCTCAAGTCGGGCATGCCCCCCCTACAGGGGGATTGTGGGCGAACCCCCCAAAAACCCAAATGCTCAAAAAT